CCCCAAAACCCCAAAACCCCAAAACCCCAAAACCCCACATTTTCACCAGAATGTTGAAAGATCTTGTAATTAATTGCTGACAAATATATCCTATCTTGTTTTTGTCTTGCCTCTTCTATTGCTTTTCCTTTTTCTAGATTTTTGAATAGACTGCACTGCTTGGTATCTTGACTCTTCGCTTCTGTTCATTCTTACAAACAATCTCAGCAAACTGAAACTTTGGAATGGAGTTTTAATTGCATAGATAATAAAATTTCCTTTCAAGCGAATCATTTTGATTAAAGCCAAAAGTCAAGTCTTAGATACCTTATACAGAAATTTCGCTATGAAGAAAGTTGCCGTGCAGGCGACTGCAAATCCAATTATATAAATAATCATCCAAAGCTCAAAGATCAGCACTGAGTGAAGGAAGTTGAGTCTGCTGTAGTATGAAATGTAGACGAGATAACTTGTACCTGGGAAGGCAACAAAGCCAAAGAACAATCATAATAAAACTTGCCAAACTTTATTATTTAACCGTCCCCAATTCTGGTAGGTTTCTACAGCTCCAAGGACAGCTGCTGGAGGTATAAGAGCGTAGATGAACAATCAGAAATTGGGCAGAAATATGTAAAAGAAAATGAACTTCACTCCTCTCCAGAGTAAAGAGTGCATAATTTGTACTAACGTCAGTTCGAACCCAAGCTTAAAATAAAAGATCACTAAGGTAAATATTGTCATCCAGATTTTTAAGGCCAATCTGTGGCCACATATCATTGGCTCAGTGTGTTCATATCTAGGGTATGCTCCTAGTCAGAACCAACAAAACTCGTAGTTTCACTTCTTTCACACCATGTGTTGGCAGCCTCCATCTTTCCAGATAACTTCTTCTCATTTTGGTCATGCGCTTGCAGTAAGCATCTGATTCAGATACGACTTCAAGTCAAGCTCTTTGATCAGTCCAGTAACTCCTTCTTGCATCCTTCTAAGGTATGATGTCTGCACTTTCTCTCTCCACTGGAACCCTCACTTGTGTCACTCCAAGTTGTCTGCTCAGGCCTTCAGCTCGATCGAACCAGCGAAGTCTCAGCCTTCGCTCGGACACCTCCGCATGTCCTCAGTAGTCGAGATGTAAATGTCAGTGTAGGTCTGGTTGATGCTCTCGAACAGTCTGGGACCAACAAGCTGTATCAGGTCTTGGTCAGTTAACTTGTGTTTACATTCACTATTAGGTCAAGGCAATTCATGGTCTTGTGCAAACTTGTCTGAAGAGAGTTTGCTTGTAGCCCAGTCAGTAAGTCACTGTTTACACACATACGTTTTCCTCTTGTGATCTTCACCTTGATAAGCACCACATTGGATAGGCTTCTTAACTTTGACAGCATATCAAACGATTCAATAGTTTGGCATTAATTTTCCTAAATGGTTCCAATGTATTTTTAATTTATAGGGGTTTTGGGGTTTTGGGGTTTTGGGGT